GAGCCTTTAAACTCTTTCTCGTGCCCGCTGTGCCATGAAGTCCCTGCCTGCCAGCACTCGAGGTGCTCCAGGAGGAGCCGGTGAGCCTCCCTCAGCCTCTCGGGAGCTCTGGCCCGGCAGGACGGAGAGGACTCACCGTTCACTAGGGCGATGTTCAGCCCACGCCCAACATTGTCCTTGACGCTGCTCATGAGCCTGGAAGACAGCAAGGAAGCCGTCCCATCGGCCTGTTGGCCCTGCCCTCTCTGACTCTGCCTACCCCCCTTAATCCCTCGCCCCTCCCCCTTGGTCTTCACCCCAAGGCTCCTACATCTTGTCCTCGAGGCAGATCTTGGGCCCAATGACGTTGGCAGCCCCACTGACCATGCGGAAGGCTAGGTGCTCCTCGGGACACGGCTGGGGCAGCCCACACTTATATTTCCTGGCCCGTGGCTCTGGGTAGAGACAATAGGTGTAACCCCAGGCCCGACCCTGGGGTCACGCGAGCCCTGAGAGGAGGAGGTCAGGCCCATCCCACAGGCTGGCGAGGGTGACCACAGAGCAGAGGGCTGGAGGGGGCGGGGTACAGCTCCGACCAGGGCCGTGTCTACAGACTGTGTCCTGCTGGGGCTGGCCTCAGGGCTTAGTGACATGGACCCCAAGGAGAAGGCTCTTTCTGCCACTGGTGGGACGAGAGAAAGGAGAGGCCCAAGGGCTGGGCTGGGCAGCCCAGTGGAAACAGTGGGCGGGGTTGGGGCCGGACGCCAGCTCCGTCCTGATCCCGCACGGTAGCCTCCCTCAGCCAGTTCGGACGTGCTTCTGCAGCAGCTGTGGTGGCCAGCTGGGGACAGTGGGGGCGGGGGAGAAGCAGGGAGGGGACAGGAGCCCTACCTGCAGTCACTGAGTTTTCTGGGCCTGTGGGGACAGAGGATTGGTTGTGTTAGTGTGCAGGCCTCCTGGGGTCAGCAGCCAGTCAGCCTGGCCCTACACTGTGAAGCTGAAAGTAGAAGGGTCAGCTCAGAGGCCATCCCAGGCTGACCATGGCATGCTGCCCGCTCAGTTCTCAAAGACGCTCAGGTTCAAAGGCCCCATCGGAATCGTACAAAGTAATTTAGGTGAAGTATCACCAGGGACAAGACCCAAAGTCCCCTAGGTCTCTCACAGGCCACTGGAAAGCCTGCCTGCCAGAAGCAACCGGGGTGTCATGGTCAGGGTTCAGAGAAAGCACCCCTGCCCTGCTCCATCTCTACTGACCACTGGATGCAGAATTCTGATAAGCATGGGGACCGATTCCCAGAGGAAGCAACTGGGGGAGGGGGAGGGGAAGACTGCAACCGGTGCCCGGAAGAGGCCACACTCACTGGTGAAGAGCTGTTGGATGCGCGGAAAGCCGCTGCCCGGGCCGCCCAGGAAGGTGCTGATTACAATCCAGGTGAGGCCGGCAGTGACAATCAAGGCCACGATCCGGAAGGGGCCTGAGACGGGACAGACACAGGCACCCCAACTCGGATAACCCCAAGGTCTCTCAGGACCACATCCTCCCTGCCACTTGGGAGGAAGTGACTGGAAGACAGCAAAGTGGGCACCTGGCCCCATCCACAGGCCCAAGAGCTCCTGGCTTTGGGGTGTCCCTGCACTCACTGCTCAGGAGGGGCTCCAGCTGTTACCCAGGAACCCCTCAGTGTACCAACGTCTCTGTGTCCCCACCCATCTTCACTCCATTTCCTTCTGTCCTAACAGAGAAGGTAGCCCTACCCCTTCGCCCCTCCGGCCCCTCCCCTGCTAGAAGCTAGGTCCTCCGCTCTCCTCTCCTCTGCTGCCCCTTGCCCGGTTTCACCACGTCCCATCTTGAAAAAGCGACAAAGCAAAAGCCCTGCTTCAAAACCGCATCCCCACCCAGCGGCTGGCCTCTCGCCTCTCCCTCGCCATCCAACTCCGCTAGGGGTGTGCTTGCTTGGTCCAGCACCTCGCTCTCTCCCTGACCTACTCCCCTCTGCCTGGTACAGCTTGTTGCCAAGGCCACCTATGGCCTTCACTGCACTGAGGCCCATGGTCACCAGTCAGCTGCCTTCCCGTCTCCTAGGCAGCCTCAGCTACTCCTAGGTCTTAAACTAGCCATGATGTAGCAATGGCTCCCAATTTTCTAGCTCCAGTCTGACCTCTCTTAAACTCACATCCATCCATGCAGCTCCTCACTGGCCACCTCCACAGGCCTGAACTGGAATCTTGAGTCCCATTCTCCATCCCTCCACCTCGTCCCTCCCCAGGACCGCTTCACAGCAAGGCTGTCATCGGGCTGGATGGTCCCACACTCCACCTGCACCTGTGGAAGCCACCCACCTGCCAGCCTCATGTCCGCCTCTGTCGCTGTGCTGGGACCGCTGGCTGTCGCACCGCTGGGGAACCGTGAGCTCTGGGGGACACAAAACGTAAGAGCAGGTTTGGGGGTGGACAGGGGCGAGAAGTCAAGTTCAGACCTGCTGGTGGAGGTGCTCCTTCCCCTCGCACTACCATCGGCCCACGATCCTCGGTGACGTGGAGCGAGAAAAGCCCGGCCAGGGCTGGGCATTGCAAGTGAGGACCCGGGGCTCGGGCCCAGGCCGCCCCTCCGGGCCTCAGGTCCGCCTGACGACTTGCCTGGCCGAGGGAGACGTAGCCTTGCTCAACGAGAGCTCGGTCGGGCTCGGCCAGTCACCCCGCGGGCCCCGGCGACCGGCGACGCGCACGCAGCGCAGCCCGGAGCGCCCGACAATGGCGGCAGGGGGTGGAGCTGGCCCCGGTCCGCCCCAGCCCGCCCCCAGTGGGAGGGATCCAAGCCGGCCCCGCCCCTCGTCAAACCCGCCCCTACCCTGCGTTCCCGTCAGGCTGTGGGTCTGCTGAGTGGGAGGGGCCAATGCCAGCCCCGCCCCTGCCTGGCGTTTGCACCAAGCAGAGCGGGCTGTCGAGTGGGAGGGGATTGCGCAGGCCCCGACCCGGAAGTCTCTTCTAGAAACTTGGGTGGGAGGCCTCCGCCTCCCCAGGCTGGACGGTTTACAGCGGTAATGGTGCTAAGTGGCCTGAATTCTGAAGCCTGGGAAAGAGTGGATAGCTCTGGGAGTGGAATTAGCAGTTGTTCTAAAATTGATCTATGCGCACTTTAGAAATAAAACCCACTTACATCAAACCGATTCCAATTCATAGCAAACCTGTGGGACCGAGTAGAACAGCCCCATAGGGCTTGCAAGGTTGTGAATCTTTACAGAAGCAGACTGCTTCATCTTTCTCTCGCAGAGCGGCTGGTGGGTTTGAATGTCCGACCTTTTGGTTAGCAGGCAAATGCCTCATCCACTGTGCCGCCAGAGCTCCTCCTTCGAAGTAAGGACGCCTCAGAGGAATGCAGAAGGGAAAACATCAGAATGCCATGAGCCAGAGTCAGCTGGCCAGAGCGGCGGCCCTTTGATGGCTTTCCAAGTGCAGTAGCACTTGGGGAGCTGGAGCCCCCAGGATAGCTGGACCCGTCTTTCTGGAGGGCAGCTGGGAGGTGTGAATGGCGAGCCCCAGAAACATCCCTGCCGTTTGACCCAATGATTCCACTTACCAGACGACCACTCAGCTCAATAAAAGAATCTGAAATACAGAAAAAGGTCTTGGAGCCAGGAGTGATGGAGCTGCGGCTCGAACCCAGTAGCTTCGAGGCAGTACCTGCACACAGAGCGCGCCTTGGTTCTCCTTGCCCAGAGGAAGAGAACCGGCGCCGGCAGCCTGTTGTTGAGTCCGGGTTCTGTCGGGGAAGTTTGGATCAGAGAGAACGCTGACCAGTTGTCATCTCGTGCATTTGTGAGTACTGAGCCTCAAGCTCGTGGCTTGTCCTCAGGGGTCTTTCTCCCAGTGTTACAGTTGTGGTGCCCAGTGGAGGAAGCTCCCAGTTATTCAGAGCCTTAGGCTGCCAGCCGACAGGGGTGGGCATCTGCCAGACTGGTGATTCTTAGAGGACAGTGCAAAGGCTGCTTTAATGAGTCCCCCTGAGCGTCCAGGGGCCAATCCCCCTTCCCCAGGGGCACCAGCGGGGTGGGTCAGCCACAGACCAGGAATTCAGGTCCAGCTCTTCCGGGCCCTGCAGGCAACCTTGCACAGGTCCTGATCCTCACTCGGGCTGGTTGTCGGTCATACACAGAGAGAGTTAGATGCCAACCGTTTGCTTGGCTTTCTCTGCCCTGTCTGGTGTCTGGCCAGTGCGGTGGAGCGTGGGTGCCCTGGCTGAGCACCACCTTTTCCTGTTGAGGTCTTCTCCCCTCTTCAAGGTCTTTATTCTGAAAGACACTATCATTCCACTATTTATTCTGAAAGCCACGTCACCACTCAAGAGCTCACAATGACTTTGGCAGTGCTCAAATAGGGAACATCAGAAAATGGGGGAGTTGCAACGATGAAGGATTCTATGGGCAAAATATTGAATGATGCAGGAAACATCGAAAGAAGATGGAAGGAATACACAGGGTCACCGTACCAAAAAAAATTG